CTTTCTCTTATACACATCTCACCTATTATTTAACTGACCTTCAAAACAGTAGTGTGTTGTTTATCCATGTATATTATTGAAGTCATATCTTTTACTTGTAATAGATCGATACTTGTAATTTATGAATCTGAATTTATGAATCTGAATTATTAGCATTATCACACTCAACCAATAGACATAGTTTAGTGACAGGACGAATCAATGATGAATTCTCAGTCCTCACTTTAACAGACCTAACGAACCCTTTATGATAATTATAAACTTCTGTTACACGACCAAGCATCCACATATTTCTTGGATAATACAACATCTCCAACGACCAGATTGCGCTTAGGATGTGTCCATTTTTGTTTTTGCTGCAACATCGGAAAGTATTCATTGACCCAACGTCGCCAGAAAACATCGGCAAGATATTGAATTTGCCTCCAGCGTCCAGTAGAATAGGTATCATCTCTCGTAAATACTCCAGCTGGAAGAACCGGCTCTGCATTTAAACGTAACAGATGATTTGGCGTCAGCACATCCAAATCGTTGGGACTATTTGGGCTCTCCGTTAGTGGCCTCCCGTTTAGAATTTCTTCAACTTCACAAAAAAGTGTTTGCAGCGACTCATCGTTCAACTTGATGTTTTGTTCCTTCATCAACCCATACAAAATCTTTCTTACGCTTCGAATGATCTTTTCCCAAATCCCACCATGATGCAACCCTGTAGGTGGATTGAAATACCAGTTAATGTCCCTTTTCATTAATTTCATTTGCATCTCCTGCTGATTGCATTTATGTAAAGACTCTCTAAGTTCACGTTCGGCTCCCACAAGATTGGTTCCATTATCTGACCTGATACTACTCACGTTCCCTCGTCGTGCAGTAAATCGTTTAATTGCGTTAATACATGAAGCAGTGTCGAGAGTGTGTGCGACTTCTAAGTGAACAGCACGACTAGCCATGCACGTAAACAGCACTCCGATCTTTTCACAGTAGTTCGGCCACGCTTGACCTCGAACGGCCCGAAATAGTCCATTCCAGTGTCATGAAACGGAGGGTTCCCCACACGTACCCACTCTATAGGCAAATCTGCCATCTTCTTTGACCAACTGATGGCTGGTACCTTCTACAAACCACACACTTTGAGGTAATCTGCTTTATTAAAGATGGTGTACCTACAATCCAATACTGCTGTCGCAGTTTTGCTAATATATGGTTTTTACCTAGGTGTCCATTTGTCTCGTGAATATCTCGAAGTATCAACCTTGATACATGAGAGTTTCTTGGTAATAGAACTTGATGTTTAGACATAACGTCAATGTTTGCTCTCTGGAGTCTACCACCGACACACAATAATTTATTCTTTATGACCGGATCAAGCCTCCTAAGCGATGATGATTTCTTATGAAGTGAAGCAATGTCGTTTGGCCAATGCTCTTTCTGAACGAACCTTACCAATGCTTCCTCCGCTCTCCTCATATCTTGAACTGATAGATTTCCATGCTGTTTCTGCCCTTCTGGTAATCTGCCCTTCTGGTAATCTTCCCTTGCGAACAGCAACACGCATTTGCAAGTTTTGCATTCCCACCATGATCCAGGCAATGGACCTTTTAGCTTGCTCCATGACGAGCAACGCTCTATTGCTCGGCTTAAGGGATCAACGGGTTTAACTTCTGTAGCCAGGACGCATTTCAGTTCTGGATCAGTATTCTTCAAGGTAAACTGTCCTATGTCTTTCTCATACCATTCACTCTCGTCCCGCCACAGGAATTTTGGACCTTTAATCCATTTTTCGCTGTCCAGAAACGCCTTCACCGACGTTCCTCTAGAGCAAACATCTGCGGGATTACATGCAGTCCTTACGTGCCCCCATTGACTTGGCGCAGAAGCTTCTCTAATAAGGTCTACACGGTTAGCAACAAATGTATGAAATCTAGCCGTGTCACTTTTAATGTAACTCAACACCGTGGTACTATCCGTCCAAAATCGTGACTCAATAACCGGCATCTGAAGCTCTCTTCGCAACATGGCATCTACTCTGACTGCTACAGCAGCAGCAGTGAGTTCCATTCTGGGAATTGTAGCAATTTTTAACGGAGCAACTCTTGACTTGGCAAGAATTAGCCGACAATGAACATCACCATTTTTGTTCAAAAACCTGATGTACGATGCCGTTCCATAACCGAGCTCACTGGCGTCCGAGAAATGGTGCATCTGTGCGGAGATTTGACTTCCAAATCCATGCGGTTTCAAACACATGCTTATCCTGAATCTTTCCAGATCACTGACTTCCGATGTCCATTTCGACCACCTCTTCGATTCTTCCTCAGGTATCTGTGCATCCCAACCCAGTTTCTTACGACAAAGTTCCTGAAGTATTTTATTTATTTTTTTTTTTTTAAATTTTTTTTTATTCATTTCAAGACACAATGAACATTAACAGTTACAAAAACGAGAAGAAAAAAAAAACCCATTATAACTGAAATTAATACAAGACGATTCGATTTGATATAAAATAATAAGTATTTAAAAAATTAGAAAAAACAAAACTAAAATAAATTAAACTAAACTAAACTAGAGAATGGCAATTTCCTTACTAAAATACAAATGCTGTATTTCTTAATTCTTAATAATATTAACTTATTAAAAAAGATTAATTTCAATACATAAATCATTATGATATTACGGTAACATTATGTATTTAGCCTAATTTCTTTAAATCACTAACAATAAGTTGTTTAATTTAAAATTATACAATTACAAATAAATACATTTTTCCTATTATTTTCTTTTTTTTTACACAGTACCCAAAAGCACAAAATTTGCTGATTAACGTTTTTCAAACAATTTTTTAAGAGAGTTCTTTATAAATTATCCTTTAATAGCTCCCGTTTTCTCTGGAATTTAAGTATTGTATTTCTTTTAAAGGCAATATTTTTTTTTCAACTTTATAATTAAATTTTAAGCGATTCAAAAAGACGTGAAACATAGGTTTTCTTTGTGCAAATTTGTAACTGAATATTATTTTTTTAATTAACAAAATTCATAAATTTAATAGGAGATGAGGGTGTTCAGTATTAAAACCAAATAATATAGAGTTGTGGTCTAGATTAATCTTTGTGTTTGATACGTTTTCCCACCATTTGCTAAACTTATCCCATAATTCTGTTGCAATATTACATTCAACCAATAGATGTAACATTGTTTCAACACGTGAATGACAGTAGGAACACATGTCGTTGTTTATAATCTTCAGTTTAAATAATATACTATTAGTTGGCAGATAATTCATATTTATTTTATACTGAAAGATCCTATTTTTTGTCTCTTGTGAGCAATTAAATGGTAATTTATAAATACCCCTCCATTTGTCGCTATCGACACATAATCGGTTCTGCATTTTATCTTGTGATGTTGGTGCTTGATATATTCTTTCTACTAAGACTCTGTATATATTTTTTGTACTCATACATTCTAAATCTTTGTCTTCTTTCAACCCTTTTACTATAAAACCCCTCCTTTTATACCCTTTTCTTAAAAATCCTGATTTCATATTTTGTTTCCATTGTGTTGGTATTGCTGATATAATCTTTCTCCAGTGCATATAATTACTAGTGCTTAAACCCTTTCCTAACCATGCATTGAAAGGGACGATTTTACCATTTTCATAAAAGAGATCACTAACTAAACATATACCAATTTCATTGAGTCGTTTATAGTAGCGTGGTTTACCATCAACGAGAATATTTCGATTATGCCATATATATTGTGACCCCTCATTAGCTGTATTAGGGGTTACTAATTCAAAATAAGCATTAAGCATATCTTTATAAAACACAGGAATATTTTTCCAACGACGAACACAATCAGCACTTATATTGCAATAGAAAACAATGTCACCGCCTAGCTCATTCAAAAATGCATGTAATAAAGACCTCCATGCTGCATTGTCATTTACATTGTAACGTTGTATCCATTTTATTTTCAATGCTTTGAACATACTTTTTACATCTACCATATTTAAACCTCCTTCTTCAATATTTCCAATTAATGTGGTCCTTTTGACCATACCCTTTCCGCCATTCCATATAAAATCATATAAAATAGTTTCAATTGTTTTAATCATGTGGGGCGGAATATGTATAACCGAAGCCAGATAAATAAATTGGAACATTGCAAATGTCTTAATTAATATTATTTTTCCTGCTATAGTTAACTGTCTAGTTTTCCATATATTTAATGTTGTTTTTAGTTGATTTAATTTACTTTCAAAGTTATATAGTTCCCGTTGTTTCTCATTGTACGAGAAGTATACTCCCAAAGCTTTCACTGGCTCTTGTGGCCACTGCACATTTAATGGTTTGGTTTTATTTAACCTGTTTGAGCATAGCCAGATCGCCTGTGACTTACTTATGTTTAACTTTAAGCCTGATATTTGTGAAAATTGGTCTATGAGACCAATTAAATTATTTGCTGATATTTCGTCCTGTAACATACAAGTGGTATCGTCCGCATATTGAGTTATTTTGACTTCCCGTTCATTAATTTTGATCCCTTTAATATATCTACTATCTCTTACGGCGCATGCCCATAGTTCTATTGATAAAATAAATAGTTACGGGCTGAGGGGATCTCCTTGTCGTATACCCTTTTCAACTGAAAAATATGTCGACGAGTAACCGTTATTCATTACACAACTGCTAATATTAGTATATAATGATGTTACGTGTTGGATAAATTTTTTACTGATGTTTGCCCTTTTTAAAACCTGGAACATGAAGTCCCACTCCAAAGAGTCAAATGCCTTTTCATAGTCCAAAAACAGCATAATTCCTGGGATATTTTTAATTTTTGTAAATTCCATAACATCTTCAATGGTTCGTACTGACTCTCCAATGTATCTGCCCTTCACGAAACCACTTTGATCTGCGTGTATAAGAGTAGGAATGAAAAGACCCAATCTAGTTGCTAATACCTTAGATGCTATTTTGTAGTCTACATTGAGTAATGATATGGGTCTCCAGTTTTTTAATTTACACCTGTCTTTACCGGCCTTTTCAATTAAAGTAATCACTGCTTGTCTTTGCGATACTGCCATTATCCCCTTCTTTAATCCTATATTAAGTGTTTTAACTACTGTTTGACCTATGCTATCCCAGAACTTTAAATACCATTCACTTGATAAACCGTCATTTCCAGGGCTTTTATTTTGTGGCATAGATTTTAAAGCATTAAGGCATTCTATATTCGTTAGGTCTCCTTCCATACTGACATTGTTTTCTTCCTCTAAAACAGGAATACTATCACTTTTTAAAAAAAATCGTTATTTGCTAATTTTTTAAAAAATTTAATATTTGATTGGTATAGTTTTTTTTATAGTATTCTCTCTGTAAATTTAATATTTCGTGTGGGCTAGTTATTTCCACATTTATATCTGTAGTTAATTTTGTACACTGTTTTTTTCTATTATTCAATTTTTCTAAACCTAAAAAATACTTATTACTTTTTTCTCCCTCTTCTGCCCACCTAATTCTTGATCTAACAATAATACCCTCTATAATGTTTTGGTCTAGTTCTTCTAGCTCCTGTTTAGCCTTATCTAAATCTGACATATTAATTTCACTTGGCTCTTCTGAAACTTTAATGTCTAATTTAGTTATTTTAGAATTCAATTCTTTTATTCTACTTTTTTTTATTTCTACTCTGATTTTTTGAATATTGAATAGATTTTTCCCTACATTTAAATTTTATCCACTCCCATTTAACCTGATCATCTACTATAGTTGTATCTTCAATCCAATCATTTAAGCATATTTTTAATTCATTTACATAGTTAGCATCTTCTAAATATGAATTATTAAATTTCCAGTGGCCTGGCCCTCTAATATAATCTTTTTGGAGTTTAATATCAATTAAAACTGCAGAATGATCGGTTCTTATTCCAGGTAAAATATCAAAATTTTTAATAAATTCTTTCAACCTGTTATTAATAAGGAAGTAATCTAGCCTACATTGTATCAATGGTTTATGTTGTCGCCAGGTGTATCTACATTGTGATGGGTGTATGTCTCTCCAGATATCAGTTAAATCGAAGACATCTGTAATTTCTCTAATCTTGTTAATCACCTTTTGTTTTGGCTTGGAAATCCCACCTCTTTTATCTATGTCCTTTAATGTACAATTAAAGTCTCCCCCAAGTATGATATCTCCCTCATAACTTGACTGCCTTTCAAGAATAATATTTTTCAGATCTTCAAAAAATTTTATTTGCATTTTTTCTAAATTTGGAGCATAGATATTTATTAGTGTAAACTTACAATCACTTTTTATTATTTCCATAACTCTAACTCTTCCATTTTCATCCCCGTAGCTGTTTGTAACTACAGCGTTACTCCCATTTTGGATTACTATGGCTACACCTCTACTATTGTTTTCTCCATGGGAAAATATCAGTTTCCCACCCCATTCTCGTTTCCAAATATTTTCTAATTCGCTAATACTATGAGTCTCTTGGAGAAGTATTAAGTCCGCTTTTGACTCCCTACAACAATTAAATATACTTGTTCGTTTCCGTAGTTTACGTATACCCCGTACATTTAATGTTATAAATCTAAGATTATTATCAGATGACATTACTATTATTAAATTCTATTTTACTGAAAATATATACCATAAAACGTAAATATATAATACTAATAAATGTTAAATAAATGTATCTGTATGTGGTATTCCTATGTAATTTGTTATTAGTTATAGGAGAGACCGTATTCAACGGTTTAATTTGTTTATATTAATAGTATGGGGGTGTGTCTTTAATAACCAATCGCGTATAATCTCATTCACATTCAGAAACTGTAAGCAATGAAGTATTTGTTTTGCTGGGAGAATTGCAGGCGAGACATAACCTAGGGGATCATATATCGAGCCTAACGTAGATAACACTCCTCTTCTAGTAGTTGGCTTAGTTGACAAATTAATCTTGTAACTGAACTCATCTATCTGATTCAGCTGACCAAAGAACACCAAACGTCCTTTCGGTAGGTAATCAACATCCTTTACATTTTTGGCTCTTTCACAGATGGGAATAGACTCGATCACCTCTCGTTCATTACTCATCCACTTGGTCAATCTAAAGCCATTTTCTTTACAAAGATTCCTTGTGTCCGTCGCACGGAGTATTGATTCAGCATTTGTTGGTACAGACACCAACTAATCATCGACGTAAATGTTTCTACGTATGGTATCGCAAACTGCCTTTTGGTACCGCCCTTTAGCATTCTCTGCTGCCTTGCGTAAAGCGTAGTTGACACACGATGGAGAAGATACCGCTCCTAAAACATGGACGGCCATTCTATATTCTTCCAAAGACTGGTCGACATTGCCATTTGGCCACCATAGAAACCTCAACATATCCCGGTCCTTTTCTGGTACCCGGACCTGATAGAACATGGATTCAATATCTGCTGTCAATGCTACCGGTTCTTCTTGGAATCTGATTAATACCCCAACAAGAGAACTAGTCAGGTCAGGTCCCTGTAACAATTCATCATTAAGTGACTTGCCACCATACCTGGCGCCACAATCAAACACTACACGCAACTTAAGTTTCTGTCTATAAAACACTCCGTGATGAGGTATAAACCACATGTTATGGGCTTCACGTCCTTCGTTCTTTTCTACAGGCACTTTTTCAGCATAACCCCTATCGAACATGTCATCCATAAACTTTGTATACTCCTTGTGAAATTCAGGATCTCTCAACTTCCTTAACAGGTGAGCAGCTCTCTTCTCTGTCAAAGGTTTGTTATTAGGCATTTTCACAACCTTGTTCATTCAAGGCAACGCTACCTCATAGTGACCTTCATTGAAACAAGTAGTCTCCTCAAGCAATTTAATAAATCTTCGGTCTTCTATAGAGCGTTTTCCTGTCGCTGAAGTCCAAATTGTACATTTCTACCAACGCATCTGCCATAACCTTTGAATGAATTCTGTTAACGTGTGCTGTTTCCTTTGAAGCAATAAGGATTCCATGCACGGACCAACCTAATATTGACTTAACGGCATACGGACCTTTTCCGACACTGTTAATCACTTCAAGCGGCTCCAATCCTTTGGTACGTTGCTTCCAATGAGAATAGAACCTATTTCAGCATCAATGTGTTTCAACTTAACTCTATCCAGATATGGCCAATTACGCAGGTCTTTTGGCTTCATTATATCGTTTTTACTTGCAGGTATCACTTCTAAGGTGTCCACATCTGGCAGCTTTATAACGTTTCCACAATCCATGTCCATTATCTCTAACTCCTGCAAAAGCCTACAATCCTAATTTCTAGTCTGATTGACAGTTGATATCCTTAGCGATCTCACCTTTGATGACGTTTTTAACCTCCTACACAGCTCTATGGTACAAAATGATGAGTTACTGCCTTCATCCAGTAAATCATACGTGTTCAGAATCACTCCAGAATCCTTAGCTTTAACCTTGACTGGAACAATGGTTGCCAAGCCGCAATCACCGGCCCCGGTCAGCCCTACTGTAGTCGTCTTCGCCGTATCCTTCCGCTCTTCGTCGGTCCGATGTAACAGTGTGTGGTGCTTCCATTTACACCCTTGCTCACATTGTAATGGCTTTGAACATCTTCTTGCTATGTGTGAGGCACCAAAGCAATTATCACACAGTCTCTCCTTTCTCAAGATTTTGAGTCTTTCTTCATGTGAGTAGCGGATGAAATCTCTACACTTTTCTAATATGTGGCTTCCTAAACAGGCTGGGCACGTAAGTGTTGTTTCAGTTGTCAAACTTACTTCCGGACGCCTCGTGGTTGTAGTAAGGCTTGTTATCCCTTTGCTGTTTGGTTTCCACTTAGGTGTATTCTTGGGATACGAACCGCCAATATTTTGGCCATACATGTTGTTAGCTAACTTGGCCGCCTCCTCGACGAATGATGACATACACTTAAAGTCGGGTGTGATTAATTTCTCCATCATTGCATAGGCTTTCTTTGCCCACTTCGTTTGCAGGTGGATTGGTAAAAGCTGCTGAATTCTTAAGAGAGATTCTGAGCTATTCATATCAGCTGAATAGCACATCTGGGAAAGAACTGTCTGGCACCTGCGCATGTCTCTAGCTAGGTTCCATAGTCCCTTACCATCATTTGGCCTAACTTGAGGACGATTCAACACCATGCTCAGATGAGCTTTTGCAATGACATGTGCCTGACCGAATTCCTCTTTTAAGATACGCTTGGCTTCAGCATAACCCTTCTTGCTTTCCCAACGCAAAATTGTATAAGATAGGTTAATCTTGATCTATCATCAATAGCTTTGCTTGCTACATTGACTTCAAACGCGTTAATGAAGTTCCAATATTCAAGATGGTTTCCATCAAATGTGGAAATTTCAGGTTTCGGCATGTTCATACTGAGACCAATTGCGGTTAATAAATAGGACGCACTTTCACTCTGGCTTGGATGGCTTGGTTGTGATATAACAGGAGGTTTTGTGTCACTATCTTCCTGGACTACATTTAAAACAGGCTCCTCATTTCTCCACTCTACTACTCTCTGGTCTGGTTCGTCTACTGGAAGCTCAGATAGTACACTGCCTTCATTATCACTTTGTAGCAGCTGCAACTCCGTTTCCAATGTATAGATGTGTATAAGAGAGAGCAGCAGCCACCGCTTCCTCTATCTGCAGCCTGTCCATTTCTACTTCTGCTTCAATCCTAGCTCTGTTAGCTTCAGCTTTCCTTCTGTTAAATTCTGCCCTAGCTTTAGCCACCGCCAAATCAGCTATAGCTTGTGCAGCATTTAAAGCCAATGATGATGCTGCAGACTGTGATGACCGCACTGAGACAGGTCTTGATCTTACAGACATGATTAATGTTCGGAATAAGAAACTAAAATATATGCAAGTAATCAAGACAAAATTAAGCTATGAAATTGTTAAGCTTACTATATCATACAGTATCTCAATGGGAACTACTACACATCAAATACTATGTATAAAGGGCTTAATCACATAACAATAATAATTACCACTTTTAGTAAACATACCCTGTACAATTCATGGATTTGAATCATAAGAACATACACAAAGGCACAAATAACGTCCAGTATAAATGTTCAATTATGATCAAAAGTCCATTCCCTGCTGGTATATTATCTTGAAGGTTGCCTTCACTTCACGTACTCACAGCTTTGGTCCAATAGTTCTTCTATTTGACATCGACGGCGCTCCACATACTTGCTACCAACACACATAGTCTAATTTAACTGTCCTTTAACACAAACGACGTTCCATACAAGGCCTGGTTAGACGAATACTTTAATTCTCCTCCAATTTCACACAAACACTGGTTATCAACACGTATAGACCTCCTTTACTTTCCTTTGACACAAACGGCGTTCCATTTACTGCTTGGTTATACGCCTATTTCAATTCTCCTTTAACTAGACACAAACACTTGTTATCCACACGTATAGTTCAATTTTACTGTTCTTTGACCAAAACGGCGTTCCATACACTGACTGGTTACACGCCTACTTTAATTCTTCTATACTTTGTCACAAACGGCCTTCCATACAACAGCCCTGCCGGCTTTGCCACACATGTGGCGCTTTAGGCCAACGTTTTTGTTAAACTAAAGTGTACACGCGAAATCTCGTTTGGCCCGGGCGCACTACTCACGCACTCGTCCCGAGGTCTGCCTGTACTTGGTAGCCTGGTAATATACCGCTTGTCACAGGCACTTAACCAAGAGCAACATAAAGTACATTCAAGTAAACTGTAACTTCAGAATCCAT